ACAGATAGATTTTTCCTTCTCCCTGTTTAAAAAAAAAAAAAAAAAGCATCAAGTGGAACCCGCCCTAGGAGGGGACATAAAGGGCAGAGAGATGACACATCATCCAGAAATACCAGCTGTTGTCACCGGAGACCAGTCAGCCAGAGCTGAAGAAAAGGCATGAGTTGGCCCCTCCTCACCGTCCCATGGCCCTCCTGACCCTCGCCCCTACCTCCTTGTGGGCAGCCGAGTTGGACTCCCAGAAGCGCTGCACTTTGCTGAAGGTGACGTTTGTGCAGTCGGAAAGGCCACTCAGGAAGGTGCCTGAGGACTTCTCGGTGACAGCCAGCTCCGCCTCTTCTTCCATGGGCGTCTCAGAGGCTTCCCTCTTGCCCAGGTGCAAGGACCCTGACTGCAGCTCATTATGTAACTTCACAGCATCGACTGTCAGGTCACTCATTCCTGAGAGCCAGAGGCACAAGTTAAGGCCCAAGCCTCCTTTTGGTCAAGAGAACAGAACAACCCCTAGGAAACAAACGAGCCTAGACCAAGTCTCCAACCCGAGGCTGAATTCTGCCTCATAAACCCATTGCACGCCTAAAACTTGAAAACCCAAGGAGAAAGGGAATCCTCCACGTAAAAGTTTTCGCTTCCCTGTAGCAACGGCATAAACGCCAGTGGGAATCAGCAGGGAGCTACATTCAGATAATCTGGAAAATAAATGAAGGTGAACGCGGTCTGTAAAGAGCCATCCAAGGTCCATTACAGCCATGAGTCCCAACTCTGACACCCGCGGTACCTTACACAAGATATTTCCCTACTGCGGACCTCAGTTTCTGTATCTGCTAAATTGGAACGGTTGTCCTTCAGAGCGGGCTCCAGATCTGACATCCTAAGAAATGGAAGTTCCAATGCCTGGCCCCGGACTCTCCCAGAGGCCCCAGACTGGACCCTGGTCTGCCTGGAACCCCACCGCCGGCTGCGCTCGGGTCCCAACCCAGCTACCTGACGGCCGGCTGAAGAAGCGGCTGCGGGCGGCCTGGCGGTGGCGGCAGATGACGGGGTTGCTGTCGCTGCTGTGGCCTTTCTTCCAGCGCTTCAACTTAGCTGAGACACCAGAGGGCAACTTCCCCGAGCGACCCATGTTGACTAAGCCGTGGCTGGGAGTCAGCTTAAAGGACCGGCTTCCAGGTACGTAGAAACACGCTCCGAACCCACGTGGATACCCTGTAACCTTCACTTCCTCTTCTTCTGGCGTCACTTCCGGATTCGTGCCTATTACTATGGTAAAACAGTCAACATCCGGTTTTACGCCTCCTCCTCCTCCTGGCTTCGGATTAGGAGGAGCTCCAAGGAGATCCGTTACTAGGAAGGAAGTTAGATTGCTAAGGGTTTTCTGGGCTTCTTACTCCAGCCAGGACCAGGTTTCAGGGCCACAGAAGTGAGCCTTAAAAAACTGGAGTTCGCCGGGCGCGGTGGCTCACGCCTGTAATCCCAGCACTTTGGGAGGCCGAGGCGGGTGGATCACGAGGTCAAGAGATCGAGACCATCCTGGTCAACAT